GACTCGCGTCTGTGGAAGGAATTAGCAAAACTGGAGGAGACGTTTAGAGAAAACTTAGAAATGACAATAAGAAGTGGGAATCAAATGAGTGTTTGGTTTGACAGATGGATTCCCTGTGAAGGAAAATTGATCAAGTGGATGGGGAATGTAGGGGGAACTGATAAAAGCCTGAAAGTGAGGGATGTAATAAGAGAGGATGGAAACTGGAACCTGCAATATTTAGAAAGCATGGTACATCCTGCAATAATACCAAAGATTCAAGTTATGCCCCCCCCCCAAATGAGAATAGAGGTCAAGATTACCCCAAATGGCTATGCTTGTGGAATGGACTTTTTTCAACACACTGCACCTATAAATGGTTGCAAGGAAACGCTTATATTATGACGCAACGAAGTTGGAACAAAATTTGGAGGTTGAGAGTACCTGAGAGGACTCGGTGCTTCATGTGGCAAATACAACATAATAAGCTCTTGAAAAAACAAAGAACTAGCAAATGGAGAGGAGAACAAGGAAAATGCTTGATCTGTGAATATGAGAGTGAAACGTAGATCCATGCATTGAGGGATTGCTATCAAGTCCAACTGCTTTAGAGGCGGTTTATGCCATTGGAACAACAGGAGGAATTTTTTAATGCTACCGAGGACAAATGGATCAAAAATAATATACGTTGCACTGCACAAATAGAAATGGGACTGGACTGGCCTGAACAGTTTGCTGCTGGTTGTTTTGGAAGTGGAGGAACACAAAGGTCCATGATGGGAACTTTAAAATCCCATAGAACGCTGCAGATTTAATGAAACAATACCTGAAACACTACCATGTTAAAGGAACTTTAATGAGGATGGAGGGAGGAAAGGAAGAGACAGTCATGATTAACTCGAAGATCCCTCCGCAAGGCTGGTGCAAGTTAAATACAGATGGTGCAAGACAACAAAATGGCAGAGCAGCGTGTGGAGGGGTAATTAGAGGGTATCAAGGGGAATGGCTGCATGGCTTCTCTATAAAACTAGGAGAATGTGGATCAGAAATGGCAGAAATGTCGAGAATTCTGGAGGGACCGAAGACTTGCTGGGAATTAGGACTTAAACGTGTAGAAGTGGAAAGCGACGTTCGGATGGTGGTAGAAGAAATTCAGAAGGAGCATACGCTAGAGGAATATAATGGATTAATGAAGGAAGTAAGAGAGTTATTGGGAAGAGAATGGCAACTGAGGTTCAAAGCTATATACAGAGAAGCAAATGCTTGTGTAGACAAAATGGAGCATCAAGCTTTCTTTCATTTCAGACTCAAGGGAAAAGATCTTGGGTAATACCTCCAACAGTATTGGAGGAGCAACTACACAAGGATCTACTGGGCATGGGAACTCCAAGACGAGTTCGACTAGATTAGCATTCTTGGTTGTATTTTGTTTCTGATTAGTTTATCCTTTATTCACCAAAAAAAAAAAAAAATCTCGCATTCTCATTTTTTTTTTAACCTTTTCTTCTAAACTAGCTCGAGCTCAGCTATGGTTGACTAGTTTCTATTGAATTATTGCATTTAAATTTTTAAATTGAATTCTTTATAATTATTCACAATTGATATTTTATGCTTAGTTTATTTAAATAAATTTCTTGTTTATTGTAATAAATAAGGATGAGCACAACTGCAAACTTTTTTGTCTTTAGTATCAAATAAATTTATCCCACCGTACAAAAACATTTTCAAATATTTTAATTGGAAAGTCCACGTTCATAATCCAAACAGTTGGTTTATAGAATGGATTGAAGGTCGATTCCGGGAAGGGATTGGGGAAAACTGAGGATGAAGATGGTGAAGGGGCGGAATGGTTGAGAATTGAAGAGACGGATAAGAGATAGGTAAGGTGCTCATGGGCTTGAGGATAACATAGGGTGTCTCACCGACATTGACTCGAGCAATGCTGAGAGAGGAGAGAGAAGATGGATGGCGTCAACTTAAAATTTAAAATTTGATAAAATTCCAAGCACTATCATGTCCATTTTCTCTAAAAAGAATTTGCTTTTGAAGTGGGCCCATCAGCTTCGCTCATGAAGTCATGATCCTATCTTTCTGTTATTTTGGGATTGCATGAATGAATGAAATGACCAAAACCAAGAAGTATTTGGATTAACTTTCTGGAAGTAATTTTACCATCAATTCATAATTTGATCTTTTAATATTTTGGGATTGTAAATTACTATTTCTTTTTAAACCCTGTCATGGATATGCATATGTATATACAATATTAATAAAATGATGGAAAACAAAATCTCATTTTAACTTTATTCTATTCGAGAAAATGATTTTAAAAAAAAGAATAAAATTATTTTAAAATTATTTTTCATTTGAGAGATAAAAACAAAAACAAAATCACACACACGGTCTAAGACAATCATATAATTAGAATTCTTACCTTGCAAAATGTTCTCGCCAAGCTCAAGGGCTTGGAGGTTTGTCAAATTTCCAAACTCACTTGGAATGATTCCTGGACAAGTTATATATGGCGAAGTCATTTTATTGATCAAAGTATATTAATGATGTGGTAGATTAAGACTAAAATTAAAAAAAATTGTTTTTCATATTTTAAATATATCAAGTGGTCCCATCAGTTCATGATCTTACCTTTTATATATTTTGGCATTATAATACCAAGCTTAATACAAGCCAAATCCTAGGAATGAACAACATGAATGAATGAAAATATCTAAAAAGGAAAAAAGAAGAAGACAATCATTGTTATTGTGTTATTGTAAATCACTACCTATATTTAAGCCTCCACCATGAATATGTCAAATATTAATGAAAATAAAAGATAAAATCTCATTTTAAATTTATTTTATTATAGAATAATGTTAAAAAAAGAAATAATAATCTCAATGCTTGTAAAAAAGTTGGCATATATTTATTAAATATAAAAATAAAACACTTCATAATACTTTTGTATAATAATGCATAAAGTACATGTATAATATAACACTGATAGGTACTAAAAGTTTTATAACTGTAAGAACTTTAAAAAGAAAATAAGGCAGATAATATTGTTCGCACATAAAATATATACAGGTAATGGAAATTAAAAAAAAAATTCATGGTTCTGGCATACTAATTTCAAAAACTTGAACATTTGTGCTATACTGATTGATCCATGCATAAATATTAATTTTCATACTTCTTTTAATTTTAAAATAAAATAATTATTAGGAAATTATGAGTGGAAAGTTTTATGTTGAAAATAATTATTATTAATTGAAGGTGCTGAATATTTTCACTTCAATATGAATGACTTAAAATATAGTTGAACTAAACATATGAACTAGTGTTTATTAAATTATTGCATTTGAATTTTTAAATTGAATTCTTTATTATTATTCATAATTGATATTTTATACTTAGTTTATTTAAATAAATTTCTTGTTTAATGTAATAACTAAGAAAAAACACCTCTTCAAACTTTTCTGATTTCAGTTTTTTTTTTTTTTTAGTATTAAACTTATCCTACCGTACAGAAATTTTCATATATTACTAACTCTGGCATGTCTAAAAATAAGTCAAGAACTCGCCTTAATTATAAAAAAGCAATTTCATGTAATACAATATTAATAAAATGATCTTTTAATATTTTGGGATTGTAAATTACTATTTATATTTAATCCCCATATGGATATGCATATGTAAATACAATAGTAGTATTAATAAAATGATAGAAAACAAAGTCTCATTTTAAATCCACTCTACTAGAGAAAATGATTAAAAAAAACAAAAGAATAAAAGTAAGACTTCATAATCTCATTGCTTGTGAAGAGGTTGGCATGCAAATATAATTGATTAGCAATAAATGCTTGTAAAAATATTGAATTGAAAGGACTTGTTAAAATAAAAATAAAACAGGTAATAATATTTGCATATAATAATACACATATACAATTTAACAAAAAAAATGACAATACTTATATCAAGTTGCTTATATCTATTATCTTAATTTCTCTAATCACACATGACCATATATCTCATTTTTGAAATATTTGGATTTAATAGCATTTAATTATACATCCACATGAAACAAAAAAGGACACATGACTATGTGTGATTGGAGAACTTGACAAAATGGATATGAGCAATGACCTAAGTTTTTTCACCAAAAAAAAAAACTAAACATGTCTTGCTAATATTAGAAATGGAGAAAGCAAACTTCTTATAACCACGAAATTGCATGTGACTCTGTTAAGTTTAACTGCCAATAAATCATGTGCTGCACACAGCCATCTAAATAATATATGTAAATAATAGAAAATAATTTAGTTTTTGTTGGCAAATTATCTATAAATAATACATGGAGTTGTGTTAATTAGAGGCTTAAAATTATTAGGAAATAATTTAGTTTTTATTGGAAAGCAATTTAAAAGGGACTTTTCTAATATCAAAGAACAATTGGAAATTAAAAATTCTTGTAAAGAAGAAATGTTAGAGGCAAATTATGCAATTAATTTCACTTATTTAAAACAAACAATCAAATTATTTATCTTTTGCATTTAAGTTTTTTAAACCCAGTGTACAACAACATAATTTTTCCTGATGCAAATTAGTTAAGAAAAATGGATTGTGTAAAACATATCATGTATACTATAATCTTCACCACTCTTAAAGCAATTTCAGCTAAAACATTTTGCAAACATTATAGAACAAGCATATTACGTATAAGATTACATATAAGATTCCACTTTTATACTATTTATAATGTTTTATCATTTTATAGTATTAGTAGATACTATTTTTCTAATTTTTTAAGATATATTCCCTTTACATATCATAAGAACATATATGAAAGACACAAATGCTGACTAGTTTATTTTTCAATGATTTAATATTTCATTTCAAATGTTGACATAAAAGAATCAAGTTCAACGTCTTTAAAAGTAATCTAACAAAAGTATTATTCATTAAATTTGTAACGCAAATTCTTGACTTATCAAAATTTAAGACAATCATATAATAATTAAAACTCTTACCTTGCAAGTTGCTGTCGGAAAGATATAGCCTCTGGATGTTGGTCAGATTTCCGATGTTAATTGGTATGTTTCCTCCGTTGAATTTGTTATACCCCAATTGTAATTTTAATAATTCTGTGCATTGATGCCAAGTGGAGGGTATTTTGCCAGACAAATCATTTCCATCTACAAAAAATATTTGTAGCTTTGGAAGCCCAACACACACATTTGTTGGGAGACTTCCAGATAAGTTATTTACTCCAAGTTGGAAGTCTTGTAGCATTGAACTGTTAAATAATGAAGATGGTATAGAACCCGCAAGTTCATTATTTCCAAGATACAATTTCTTCAGTTGTGAAAGATCCCCAATCTCATTTGGGATGCTCCCTTCAAATATTAGATGGCAAATAAAAAAAAAAGAGACAGAATGATGTCAGTAATAATTTTTTACTTATAATCAATTATTATAAAAAAACAGACACATTTGTATTTTTCAAAACGCATATAGCAAGTCTTGCATATTTTTGAGAAATAACACGAATTTATTCTAAATGGTAAAACACAAATACAATTATCATTTTCTTTTTTGCTAAAGCATAGGTATCCTTCTATTGGAGGCATCCTATTCAAGGCACCGTCAAACACTACATGTGGGCACCTCTTCCAATAGGGATTCGAGTTTTGGTTTGTTATGTTGTGAATGACTAACTCCTTTTGTTAGACCCTGCTGGTTTCAAAAAGAAATAATAACACCTTCAATTTGGTTGGGCCATTGACCATAGACCAAATAATTTGGACATGTGATTTGTTGAGAAATTTGGACCGCCTAATGTCGGACAACATAATGGGCTATTCCACAAGGCCCATTACACTGTGTTTTCTGCTTCCCTTCAGTTTGTTATTCTGTGATTTAGATTGTTTATCATTGTTATCTTTTAGATTTTGTGGATTCGTTAATTCAGATTGAGTTCTTTCAATGAAAATTAAAGAAACAAACTAAGAGACACATCAAAATCCAATTGACCCTTACTTTTCATCATGAGACTCCCAGAAAAATAGGTCTTGCAAACTAAAAAATTTTTTTAAAAATAAAATTATTAATTTAGATTATCCAAAACAAAATTAAATGTTTCGAGTATGTTTCTTCTAAGACTTAGTCATTTTTAAAAAAATAAATCCTTCATAAACTTTTTAATGTCTACATTTATTTTCAAAGATTGATGATGAGCCTTTAGATCCTTTTGGACTAATATTCTTTTCCCCAACCATTTTAAAAATTGGATGACGAATTTTTAATTAAGAAAAGAATAGAAAAATTCTGAAAAAATAAGAAAAAAATACAAAAATATAAAAAAAATTTATAAAAAACAATTGAGACAAGCCTGGATTTCTCTGAAAATACCTAATAAACTGTTAAAAGAAAGACAAGCTAAGGAGTTGTTTGGATCTGAAGTGATAGAAGATTTAAGAGTAAAAAGTGCAGATTTATCAGTATAGTAATGTTTGTCTCTGTCTAGTTAACAAGAGAAAAACAAAAGCTAGATTTTTTTTTTTCATGGCTCGCCTTGCAGAATTATAAAAATAAATATTCCTAAATATATATTTATATATAAACAGATAAAGAGATAAGATATCATTAATGAAACTCAAAAGTACTCCACCCTTTTAATGTCTTGTTGTGGCCCTTAGTATCGAGGCTGAGTTAATTTGTTAATACTGCTAAGATTATTTATCTAAAATCGTTTTCAGAGCATTGAATCATCATCTTAATCATTTTAAAAGAGCCACTACCCTTGAATGATATATGTATGTGTATATATATATATATATATATATTATTTTTCAGCATGTTGTTTTTTTCCCCTAGATCGATGTGAGACTCATTGACAAATTCGACTGGATTGTCTCTATATTGGAAAAGAAAAATTAAAAACACTTGCAATTAAAAAGAAAATATAGGGGAAAATGAAAAATTAGAAGCTAGAAAAAGCATTGAAATCCCGGCTAACCCGTTTTATCATCCTTATCAGGTTATTTTTTATGGGGCTTCTTGTTTAATGATTCAGTATTTTACCGATTTTTGAAGATTTTAATTTTAGGCAAGTTATGACCCTACCTTTACATGTGTGTGAAACTTATAACATGAACTAAATGATCGAGAACAAAATCTCAGTTCAAATTTATTTCTATTCCAGTGAAACAAATTTTGAGTACAAATATTCTATCTACTTCAGTTCTAATTCGTGATTTATTGAAAAGAATAGCGATGACTATATTTTTTAAAAAACAAAAACTGATTAGAAATGCGCAAAGACCCAAAAAAATTGGGACTAACCCAAGCACATGATGATTGAGGATTTATATCCTCATAATTAAATAGACTAGTTTTGAACAAACACAAGCATGAACATACCTGACAAATTATTATGAGACAACCAAAGCAACTCAAGCGAAGACAAGTTGGAAACTGTTTGGGGAATTGCTCCTGAAAGTTTGTTCCTTGAAAGTTGTAACTTCTTCAAGTGCTTTAGACTTCCTATCTCTGGTGGAATGGTACCTTCAATGAGATTGGAATTCCAATCTAAAGTCTCTAACCTTGATAGATTGAACAGAGATAATGGAATAAATCCGTTGAGACTGTTATTTTGAAAACTTAAGTGCTCAAGCATAGTTAAATCTCCTATCCATGTTGGAACTTGTCCATGAAAGTCATTATAGCTCAAATTGAGTAGTCTCAATCGACGTAATCGAACCAAGTCTTGTGGGATCTGACCATGAAAGTTGTTTTCATTGAGATCAAGTTCAACAAGGAATGAGAGATTTCCTAGTTGTGGAGATATGGTGCCCTTAAGTTCCATGCTGCTAAGATTCACAGAATGGACCCTTCCATGCCGATTATTGCATGTGATACCAGCCCAGCTGCATGGACTAGAAGAGACAGACCAATTAACTAAAAAATCATATGGATCAGAGGTGATAAAGGACTTAAGATTAAGAAGTGCAAATTTGTCAGTATTGATGTTTGTATGAATGGAAGCTAAGGTGACTGTCAAGCAAAGAAGCAAGATGATGAGGAAGACAAAGGAGGAAGGTTTTCCCATATTGATCATATCAAACTCATCAGATCTTGCGCAACCAGGAACTAACACACACATCATTTTATACTTCTCCGATTCTGAATCAAGTCAAGTCAAGCTAACAAAACGCATTATTGTTCCTCTGGAGCGGATGAAAATTCCGTAAATGCATATATTTTAACGTCTCATTGTTCCTTGATTAAATTATCATAACCCAAAAAAGAAAAATAAAAGAAAATAAAGATATAAGAAAATGTAAGTACATTGAAAAGTAAATAAAGATAAAAATTAAATCCAAAAGTTTTAGAAATTTTCTCGTGAAATTATGGAGATATCTATTATATAAGTTATATCCAAAAGATTTCTCCAGTTATTCCAAAATAAACTTAATTTTTCCCAAATTATATAGCTACATTTTATTATAATTAATTTTCATTTTCTGGGAGATAAAAAAATTGCAAAAATTATTTCTGTGGTTTAATAATTATTATTAATATTTTTAGATGTACCCTTTTTATGGATTTGATGTCGTAATGTATTAATCGTTCTCAATGTTTTAAATTTAACTATAAAGATATCATATTTATTTGTTCTACTTTCCATGTCGGGATATACTTTTTGTTGTGGACATATCTTTTTACTGTGTGTTCATCTTTCTAGCCTTTTTATTTTCATAATTTTGAATCGAATTGATGATTATGTAATTAAATGAAATTTAACTTAATTAACTTCAGTATTGACAAAATCAAAGAAAATTTAATTTGGAAAATATTATAATAGTAATTTTATAAAATATTAAATTTGAAGCTTAAAAATTTGAAAAAAAAAAATCACAACGAAAGGAACCTTTGCCCTTTATTTTCATTTATGGTCGGTCTTGTAGGCCATTTATGGAGAAAGTAGCTAGTGGGGACATATTGTGCCCGCCTTTGACAAACAAAAAAGTCTATAGACTCTAATTAATTGGATGTATTATATACATATCAAGAACCCATTATTTATCAATTGGTGTTCTTGACTTGTTGTGAGTAGACCTCAGAGTCACACACCATTTCACATGAAACAACTTGTGTAGAGGTGATATCATTTTAGTTTACCCAGAGGAAAAATACCACAATTGACTTCAAAAACACATAAATAATGCAGCTTTTAATTTGTTCTACAGATTTTATACTTTGTACGTGGCAAAAAGAGTATGTACTTTTTTATGTATGTTTTGAAAGGCAACCACTCACTTTGATAATCCACTTTCTACGTCACAAACTTGAAGGGTGTGTGCAACTTTTTTAAAGCAATTTGAAAAATTATACTGAAGGATAGTATCCTAACAAAATTAAGGTTGGTTTAGTTTGTATAAATATAATTAAATTTAATAGGTTGTGGATTAAGATTACCCACAAAAAACGTTAGCTGAGAAGACGTCAAAGAAATAAAGTAATTGGCGTGCTTGACTTGTTAGTCACGGTCTGTCTCTTGTGCGTTACGTTCAAATTTGTATTTTGAAGGTCTCCTTTTGAATGATACTAGAAATAGATTCCTTTACATGTGTGTTGAAATTTATATTGGTTTTGATATCCTTAATATTACATGAGCATAAAGCAAAACATCAATGAAATTTTAGAGATTATCTACTGTTTCCTGAATATAAAATATGAAATAATCAGTATAAGTATAGTAAAGTATGAAACATATTGTGCCCTCCTTTGACAAACAAAAAAGTCTATAGACTCTAATTAATTGGATGTATTATATACATATCAAGAACCCATTATTTATTAATTGGTGTTCTTGACTACTTGTGAGTAGACCTCAAAGTCACACACCATTTCACACGAAACAACTTGTGTAGAGGTGATATCATTTTAGTTGACCCAGAGGAAAAATACCACAATTGACTTCAAAAACACATAAATAATGCAGCTTTTAATTTGTTCTACAGATTTTATACTTTGTACGTGGCAAAAAGAGTATGTACTTTTTTATGTATGTTTTGAAAGGCAACCACTCACTTTGATAATCCACTTTCTACGTCACAAACTTGAAGGGTGTGTGCATCTTTTTTAAAGCAATTTGAAAAATTATACTGAAGGATAGTATCCTAACAAAATTAAGGTTGGTTTAGTTTGTATAAATATAATTAAATTTAATAGGTTGTGGATTAAGATTACCCACAAAAAACGTTAGCTGAGAAGACGTCAAAGAAACAAAGTAATTGGCGTGCTTGACTTGTTAGTCACGGTCTGTCTCTTGTGCGTTACGTTCAAATTTGTATTTTGAAGGTCTCCTTTTGAATGATACTAGAAATAGATTCCTTTACATGTGTGTTGAAATTTATATTGGTTTTGATATCCTTAATATTACATGAGCATAAAGCAAAACATCAATGAAATTTTAGAGATTATCTACTGTTTCCTGAATATAAAATATGAAATAATCAGTATAAAAACTTAGGTATAGTAAAGTATGAAACTAATTCAAAACGATTAGTTAATTCTTTTAAGAAAATTAGTTATTTTATGGATAATTAATTTAGAAAGAAGATATAGTGTGCGCGCACAAACAGGCTAAAAATGAAACACCATATATTACAATGAAGATCAAATTGAGAAAGCATGCAGGCCATTGGGGGGGGGGGGGAATAAAAAGCTAAGATGTGCATACTTGTTGAGTCTAAACGCAAAAATAGAAAAAAGAAAAAATTGGTTAGACTCTTAATTTGAAAATTTAAATTAATTAACACTCATTCAATATGTCAAAAAAAAAAACACAGAAATTCGGTAGATGACCATAAATTCAACATTACATTATTTGACTTGATGGTATGAAAGTGCTAAATATAAAATATTTTTTTAGTTAATTAAAGCAAAACCTGAAAGAAATTTTAGAGATTATCTACTTTTTCCTAAATATAAAATATGAAATAATCAATATAAAAATTATCTAGTCAAGCATGAAATAATCATTGTTAGGAGATCTTAAAACTATGCTTTTTAAAAAAAAAAAAAATCAATATCATTTATGTCGTGATAACCACTTTTGAAAGGAGAAAGATGCGAACAAATAAAGATAAAATTATCTTCAAAGGCCAAAAATAGGATAAAGATCAAATTAAAGAAGCATGCCATCAATTACTTTTTAAAAAAATAAAAAACAAAGGTGTGCATACTTGCCGAGTTTAAAACGCAGAAAATTGCATACTAGGGTCTACTTTCCCATGCAATGCACAGCGCAGCGAGTATTATATATTTGGCTTATGTGATGGTAATTTTATGACGCTTGTCTCTAGAATTTAATGTGTGACATTTTGGACGAAAAATATAATCTCTATTGCAAAATGAATGGTGATAATTGATTTGTGTTGTCATACATTGATTCTCTATTAAATATGTAATAATTGATAATTAAATAATGAATATTGTGTCAAAATTATTAAATATGAAATAGTAAAGTTATTGTACCATCAAAAATTAAAACCATACATTATTTTCAAGATCATTCTGTGTATCATGTTACTTGGGGATTTCCGAACATTAAATACATTATTACTAATTTTGCCCTTGATTAATTTTCTATTCTTTCTTCTTAGATCTTTTTCTCATGCTGCATACTCTTTCATCTTGTATCTCATTATCATTATTTTTCTCTAATTTGCTCCCTTATTAAGTAAGAAAATACTTGAAAAAAATGGTTCAATGTTTTTCATATTTATTGCTTTTAACTAATTTTAACTATATTTTTAAACCACATAATTTAGTTAAAAGGATCTTATAAAAAGGATCAGGAGTAGTCCTTTTGGGAATTAATTGTTGGCTATTTAATTGACTTCTTTTAATACAATACTAAAATCTTACTCAACAAAACATCAAGCCAGTACAAATACTATCCTCCTTCATCTAGATACCCCCAAGGAAAGGTGGAGATTGATCAAGGAAACAGAACTTAGCTTCCATGTCATGGGATTAATCGAATACAACATTATTATTTGTAAATCAAAATGTTGATTGAGAATGTGTATTATTGTTGGTTACCCAACATGGCAATCAAAATAAAATCAAGTGGGCTTAGGTCATAAGAAATTCTTAGATAAGAGTTCTCTCTTTCAGGCTTTGGATTTGGCTTCTTTCATGTACCCATTCCATCCAATTCCTCTCCCCTACCCATCTCCACCATTAAATTGACATTTGAGTGGTTCATCAGATAAAATAAATTTTAAAATTATTTTTTAAATATTTATATTGCAGTTTTAAACTGTTATTACCAAAGTGTAGCAGTTTTGGATTTATTTATTTATTTAATACTTTGACATTTTTTTGGTGCAAGTAATTTGACATTTTACTAGTTTTCTTAAAAAGCGTTAAATTTGGGCCCCTCAAATTCCAAGCTTTTCCTTATATGTGTCAGGTCTCGAAGGAACATGAAAAATGACGTGATTTTTTCATAATGGAATTATTTTATACAACGTTTCGATTATTTCTGAGTATCCTTACACGACTTCTGAGTTTGCGAAATAAATCCAAACCATGACACAGACTGCGGATTCCCAAGAGAAACATTTGTCCTTAAACAAGGACTTATAAATAATTGGTACAAAGTCTTGCTTCTCCGATGATATTACAAGGCTTCCGTTCTGATATTCTGGTTCCTCGGTATTCATCAATAGTAAGATATTGCAGATCCAACAATTTCTTCAGTTCTGCGATGTAGCGGCTTTAGTTGCCTTGGAATTGAATTCTTTTCTTGTTCTCCTCTAGTTGATTTCAGGTCTTCAGTAGTTGCTTTTAATCTTGTAAGGAAATAACATTGTGGGCCTTGTACCAACTTTTTAAAAATAATCTTGTCACTCATCTTGAAATGACTTAAAAAGTAGCATTTTAATCGTGATTTATGAAATATGAGATAAGTATGTGAGGGGAGTTTTGTTTTGATTTAAATGAAAGGACTTATAAGCACTTATCAATATCAAGTACAGACAAGCATCAATTATTTGGGAACTAATTAATTAAAGACATTTATGGAAAGCCTTGCCAATTAGATATTTCCCAAATGTACAAAAAATTTGAGTTGAGGAATAGATTTTGATTGGAAACACAAATGCAGTAGAGATGTCAACATATCATGATCAAATTTCAGATCAGATGTGGTTGAATCATCACATGCTAACGATTAGATGTTATTTCATATAATTAGAAGCCATTTTTGAGACTTTGTTCAAAACAATATCCATTTAAACGTTATTTTTGTTTGTAGAAAATCATTTTTGATGTTATTTATTAGTCATATATTCTATGTGATTTATTATTAAATTATTTTAATTATATAATAAGATAATTAAAAAATAACGCCAATGACAAATATATAAAATATGTGAATCAAAAAATGTTTTTTAAAATTTTTTTGGGTTCTCTAAGTTATTTCAGAAACAATTATTTCATGCTGACAAAAAAGAACCATTATTTCAGACAATATGTATATTTTTCTAGTTCTCAGATATAAACTTTTAGAACGATAATCCAAACTTTTTTTTTTTGAGTACTTATTTTGAAAAACAATTTTATAAATCTATTCTAAGTAAAAAGACCAAAAATAGAATGAAAAAGGTCTAAAATTAATTTGCTTATGAGTCTTTCCCACAATCAAATAGCATCAAAGGCAATAATTTGGGGCAGAATGGGGTAACTTATTTTTTTAAAAAAAATTATAAATTTTTTTATTTCAATAATTATTTAATTAAAAATAAATTTAGAAATTAAAAAAATACTAAATGATACTAATTGTGTATAATTATATATTACCTCCTGTTCTTAATATAAAAACATGTTTGACATTTAACTTGATCCTAAATATAATATTCCAATCTATTTTATCTATCATATTTATCTATTTTTTCTTAAGTAATTATTGTAGTAGTTGAACATGTTAAATATTTTATTAAATGATAATTCTAACTAAGACACATGATTAGCAAAAATATTTTAGATTCCATGTTTGGTCCTAAGTTTTTTTTTTTTTTTGGGTGCCTTCCCCTTCCCTAGGCTTCAAATGTTATCTGTTCCTTTTTTTTTTTTTTTGTCCTCCTCTTATATAGACACAAGTAAGAACTGCCCTACTATAAGTCAATCAAATTACATCTCATCATATCTATGATGACCCTGAAATAATGTAAGAAAAATAATAATTTTTTAATTAATATTTTAATTATTTATTCTATATTTTTAATAAAAATAATATAGTCGTTGAGTGGAGCATAAAGCACTTGCAGGTTTTTGAAACCCAGGCACTTGCAACCATATTACAACACAAGACTTGCATAGTATCGCATTTTTCTTCTCAATCTTTTGCAGTTAGCAATATGTCATATCCTACCTTCCCGAGGAAAGACCAAATACAGCGAAATAAAATAGTAAAAATACAAATAAGGCAATATATGAATTTAGAGATGGGTTGAGATAGAAGCATAATTTTGAAAAGTTATAGATAAGGAAGGATAATTTTGGAAAAATGCCCAGAATTTCAGAAAATTCCCAGGATTTGTGCAAAATAGAGAATAATGTCTTGAATCATATTTGAGGCTAAGAAGAGGTGAGATGAGAAAATTACCTCAGAAAGAAATTTTACTCAGTTTCTAAAATTTTCGTTAATTAAGGGATAATTGGTCAATTTAATTATGAAAAATACTAGTAGGCCTCAAATGATTAGACAACAATGAGGGAAAAATTATTTTATGATTAATGTGAAATTATAATACAGTTTTCATGCTCAAGAAATGTCGATGTCTATCATTGTGGATAATGTTGATGATATTGTTGATGGTTGTTAAGTTGTTATTTTTCTGGTAAAAATGTTTGTTAAGTTGTTCTTGAATTTTGGAAATTTTGGGATGTAAGAAAAGTAAGGGAAAACGTTGAATAAGGAAGATAAAGGGAAAACTATTAGAATGGTTGATTGTAAATGGTTGATTGTAACAAGTAGATAAGTGATCTGGTGAATTACTGTGAAAATAATGGCGTTTCTGAGACCTAAAATTGGATAGAAGCCTTATACTTGGAATTCTGGACCTTTCCTTGATTTGTCGCGATCTGTAAGTGTTGCCAAGACGAAGAATGGCGCTGCCACTGCAATGCACTTGCTATTATCGCCCCAGCGAGTTATCGCCTCGTCGCGGGGAAAATAGGGCTTGCCGCAGCGAAGGACCCTGTTTGTCGAGGCGATAGGTACAGTCTGTGCCACATGATTTTCATGTGACTGTATGATCAACATTTGACTGAGGTATGTGTGTATTATTACACGAGGATATTTTACTACTGTGTTTGTGGTATGAACCGGACGCTAATATTCTGTATGTCATAATAATTGGCAAGGAATGAGAATCTGTACCCTGGTGAAACTATTTTGAAACTAAATATGATGTTCTTGTGCTTCAATATAAACTGCAAGAATGGGGAGGCATTGTGATGTGAATATATGATATGTTCACGCTGTTCGCCTACATATAGTACACTATGGTTAAAAGAGCTTTTTAAATTAACTGCATACAAATCAAGATTCACAAATATTTCACAACTATTGGACCTTGGGCATTTTGAAACCCAGAATATCACATTTAATCATAAGCCCATAACACCTCATTCTTGAATAATGCTTTCATGAATGTTCCAAATCAATAGTCATCAAGTACCTCAAAAGTCATTATGGATCCGTAAGTTTCAAATACATGCAAATACCTAGAGCCTTCCAGTCTACTAATAGCACAGAATCCTGCAATAGTTAATCAAAAGTATAAAGTCAATACAACCAATCTCAAAAATCCAATAATTACCATAAGTCTAACCCCCTGCTTAGACTAGCAATCCAATAATTAATTTGCACAGTCAATACACAAGTTGTTAAATTGATTAATTAATTGAGCAATATATATTAGTTAAAGTTTATAATTCTATGCTAAAATCTCAAATCTCTCATAACCCATAATTAAGTTTTTTTAGCGCTAAATCATAATTTCCGAAAAAATCTAAATTTCTCATTTAATTCTTCCATTAACGTCCAAGTTATTTATTTTAATAAAAGAATTTTTTCAAAACTCTCAAATATGAAATTATTGTATTTAAAATTCTAAAATCTCATTTCAAGTTTAAACTTCACCTTAAGACTAAACCATTAAAAATTCAATAATACATCAGATATGCATAAATAGATAATTTAATCAAAAGTTTCTTAGTACAAATATCATATTTGTCACAAATAATGAGCTTTTTAGATAAAATAATTATATTAAAATCTCAAGATAGCCAATAAATAAAACTAAACTGATAGAAATGATATAATAAAATAGCTCTATAGTACTATGGTCATCTACAATTAAAACTCAACACCTGCTTCAAATTCTAAATCTAGAAATTTACTCTAATCACTGCAATAATATCATCATTAGAAAGCTCTAACTACTAGAACAACATTCATGAAAGGAAATTTGGTGAAAGGAAGTGATTTGAGTGCTTAAATGATTCGAAAAACTTCTTGCCCTGATCCCCCCGGGGGATGGAAGAACACGGCAGCACTTGAGCTCTCGGATCTCTCTCCCTTCCCCAACTATAGCAGAATGAATTGGTTGGGTTTTTGGTTTTTTTTTTTTGGGTTATATTAAAGGAAAAATTCTAAAAAATGACTGTTGAATTTTAAAATTCCAAATTAGTATTGGTTACTACACTCATAAAGAAAATGACTACACTTGAAAAGCAAAGGACGACGAATTTTGTAGTAATTCTTGATTTGAAATTTTGAAATTTAATAGTAATTCTTTTTGGAATTTTCCCTATATTAAACCCCCTACCATGTGCCCACTAAAGGGGCACGGGGCCCTTTAGTTGTGATTTTATTTTTAAAAGAAAAATTCGCTCCCCCATCTGACAGATAAAGGGGCTCGTTTTTTTTTTTTCATTTTCATTTTTTTTAAATATATATTGTTTTAATCCCTTTTTTTCAAATTGCTTCCTTTGTTTTTAATATTATCATTTCATTTTATTTCATTTTTTTAATTATTTCTATCTCTAGCTCTATTATTATTGTCATCATATAATTTCTTTTATGCACATTAATAATATTTTAGTTAAATTCTCTTTTCTTAAATAATTAGAGAACAAATCTCATTTAACAAGCATTCATTTCTTCCTAATATTATTTAAATACTAGGAATAAAAATTAGGACTTTCAACCCGGGCTTCCTATGATGTTTTGTCTGCCGGCGTATTGAGATCGACACGCAGTGGTCAGCCAATCCTCTCACCCATCCTAGCAGTGAAATGGCTGTTATAACATAAGATTGGAATCTATGGGATACGCATCCAAGCAACTATCCTGCCAAGAGGATTTTTGTGCGGGTTGAAGTATGGAGACCATCTTCGAACTAGGATGCAATGTTGGGCTATGACCCAAGGGTCATCATACAGTACCTTTCGAAAATGTTCTTTCCATCATTCTTCGCTTTTAAACTTGACAATGTAGTAATTATTAGGCAGATCCACCAACTCAAACTCATAAAAACCCTAGGTCTTAGCTAGGCAGATTTTAACAGGTAAAGATTGAATCTTTTCCTCAATATAGTTATGATCAAAGAATAATTCCAAGGCTTGCACCAATCATTATATTCTTCCTGAGAGATAGGAACAACTGGGTACGTCTTCATTAATTCGTTCTTTTCTTGCCAGAAATATTTGTATTCATATCATTTAAAAGTAACAAAATCTACGAAACACCAAAGTACAACCCAAAAAAAGTATAACCGGTATGAAAACCAGCAAAATATAGAAACAAAACACAAACACCAGAACAAAATACAAGCACAAAGGACATTCTTCAGCTGAACAAAACAAGCCAAATCCCAATACTTCAACAAACAAGAACGGCTGTAGAAGGTGGTAGTCCCAAAGACTTTCTCAACAATCGAGCCCACCTTCTTTGACGCCAATCTGCATCCACTATGGTGGCTTTAAACCACTTCCTTGAACCAAGAGAGGAAGAGTGTTGCTGAAAGCCAAAAAAGACCTCCAGGACAACAAACATAATGAGAAATCTAGACCCTGCACCATTTTGCCTAAGAGCGCCAACAATTAAACAGAACACTTTTTTCATAACTAGAGAAATAAGAAGACAATCCCATCCTCCATTTGGAACCCATCTCAAATCATCCTGCTTCTTTAAAACAACTTGACCAGAGTTTGCAAAAGATCTTAAGATCATTACATTTTGAGAATCTTCATTAATATAACAGCACACTCCTGGAGTTAATAAACGTATTAGCGATAGAGGTAGATTCGACCAAACCTTACATCGTTTAGCATCATGAAATCAGAAAAACAGAGTTTCGATGTTGATTTTATTACAGCAGAGGTTGCTTTGAAAATTTTCTTCTATCAGCGAGACCTTAGCTTCCATAGGCATAGTCAGATCATTCTCATTTTTCATCAATCTCTACACTATGATCCATGGTTCCCTTGTCCTCCGTCGCTCAAACGTTCATTCTGCTAGGGATATGTCTTCAATTGACTTAGCTCTACCTTGGCCATCATCTTTCCTTCTTTAATTTCACAGATCTATATGCACAACACACATCACAGAATGATCTCTCCTTATATCGATCGTTATTCCCAACGGCCTAAATAAGCACAAACATCAACACACACATGTCCTCCACTCACACACGTTGACAGACATCCTCTCCCATAGCAGTTACCGGAGAGCGGCGTCGAAAAAGCCGCTCCCACTCGCGAAGAGAAACAGGCTCGCGCAAGGGTAAACCCTAGAAGAGAAAAGAAACATTCATTAATTCCTTGACTTCTTCCCCTCGCTCTGGCAATTGCTAGAATACTTCCTTATTATCATCGAATAGTTCATCTATCACCATGCACATTTCATCGTTCGCAACCCCATTGAACCCTGTCAAAGATTTCTTATAGGATAACACTTATGGTTTCTCTATCTGAACTCCATCCGGCCTTTGTTCATTCCCTTTGGCATTCCCCACACCCCCCGGTCTCTGAGGATTGTCCTGTTTCAGTTTCCTTTTCCTCTATACAATCATCCATTATTTTTTGAGGGATTTCAACTATCTTCTTCTTCTTGTTTCTGCCATTTTTCGGTGCTTGGACCTTCTGGTTAGGTGGATTTTGTCTTCTGTGTTTTCAGTGCGCATAAAGCCAGAACAATTCCCAAGAGAGAGAGGAAAAAAGACTTTCCTTTGGCTCTTCTCATTAGTATTTTCATTTCAACATGTTTTTTTGTATTTCACACCTCCATGTTTAATTGATGTTAATGCGTTCTTCATTTCTCAAGTTTGTTCCCTCTAAACTAAGCACAAGCACCTTTCTTTTAGAGACAATCCGGTTTGAGACACTATCAAGCACTAAATGTAGACATTTCTTCTAGTAAAGACTCAAACATTGGTTCATTACGTTGTGAAGAACTAGCTAGTTCTACTAGACCCAACTCCCGTTAGTTCATTTCTCAAGTTTAGAATGCTTGCATGAATGAAAAAATAACAATGAAAAAGAAGGCTAGTTACCATGATCATGGAAGGGGAGGGATCCCTTCTTCAAAAACTTGTAATTCAAATAATCTAGACTCTTTGAAACACAAAAACATTGCAAAGTATAATGTTCACATTTGCTCACCTCTTACAGAAAATAGAAAACCCTTATAGACTATACAATCTATCTCATAAGTTTATTCAACATTTAGAATTATAATCTTTTTTCTTTAAAAAATGAATCAAATACAATTTAAATAGCTAAATATAATTGTAATGAATAAAATGTAACAAAATGGAAAATAATTCAAGGCATAAAAAATGTACAAACTCCATCAATTAATATAACAAACACATAAATCGTTGCCATTTTTCATATGACATGTTTTGTAGACAAAATAAACCAACGGATAAAAGAAACAATAATTAAAACTTCCATATAAAAATTATTGAACTAGTGGTGCATCTCTAACATTTTACGTGAATATGACCTTGTCTTTCTCAATGAGACCACAACATCAGTCATCATAATTCGTGTTTCAGGTAATTCAATGCAACAATTTAATGCCAGCTCAAAAATTGATGACATAAGGGATAATATGTTGCTGATATTTGGATTCCCTTTCTGCAGCAAATTGACATCTAGAATATTGATAATTGAATGTGGCATTGATTTACTAACCCAATCTTTCAAACCAAAACCTTCAACAAACATTTCATCAGTTGGCTTCTTCCTCGTAAACATCTCCATTAGCATGATACCATAGCTATACACATCTCCTTTGAAAGAAACCACTCCATTTGATCCATACTCTATATGTCAAAAGAGAATATAAGGTTTGCTATCAAACTTTTCTTTTATATAGCTAATACAAATCTTTGATATAGGAATGAAAAATACATATCAATAATTGAATACTATAATATTTTGCATAGAATAATTAAAAAAAACAACATAGTTGAACTAAAATACTATTATTAAACTATTACCTGGTGCCATATAGCCAATTGTCGCCAATGTTTTTGTACAAGTTTCCAATTGTCCTTCACCCAATAGTTTAGCTATACCAAAATCACTAAGATGAGCCACCATATCTTCATCCAACAAAACATTGCTTGGTTTTATGTCACAGTGGACAATTGGAGTAGAAGTACCATGATGAAGATACTCTAATGCAGCTGCCACATCAACCATTATATTCAACCTTTGCAAGATATCTAAACAGTAGTTATGAGAGTACAACCATCTATCAAGGCTTCCATTTGACATGAATTCCATGATTAGAGACTTGAAATCATCGTTTGAGCAACTACTAATAATCTTAATGAGATTGCGGTGGTGTAAATTGGACATGGCAGCGCATTCAATATCAAAGCATCTCAATGCTTCTTCCATGTCTGTGTTAAATACTTTGACAGCAACTGTCTTTTTATTTGGAAGAATTGCTTTGTATACTGATCCAAAACTTCCAGAGCCAAGAAGATTGCTCTCATCAAATCCACTTGTTCCCTGTAGAAGCTCATAATAGGATATCCTAGTTGGTGCAGCCAAATTGGTTAAATCCTTTTTGGTTGAATAGTTAGCATTATCTCTACTATGCTTTAGAAAGACAATGCCTGTAACAACCAAAATGACAACCATGACAGGCACTAAGCATTTTACAACCAGCATCACTTTATTTGATTTGTGCTTGTTTCCTCTCCTACATGGTTTTACTTGTAGTTGAGGTTCTCCACAAAGATCTTTATTCATCATAAAAGATTTAGCAATAAAATTTTGAAAAGGACCACCACTTGGAATTTCTCCATCCAAAAGATTGTAGGAAAGATTAATAGATTTAAGATAGAGAAGTGACTCTAAGGACTTTGGAATCATACCAGACAAATAATTATGAGAAAGATCTATTGACTCAATACTTATCATGCCACTTAGCGATCCAGGTATATGCCCATGTAATTTGTTGTGACCCAAGGATAGGTTTTGCAAAGTTATCAACCCACCCATAGCTGTAGGGATGCTTCCTGAAATTTGGTTTCTTGACAAATTCAATAGTGTAATTGCTCTCAAGTTTGATACCTTTGATGAAATTGCTCCATTCAGTGCATTGGAAGATATATCTAAAACCAAAATATCTTTGAGATTCCAAAGAGAAGAGGGTATATGAGAAATCAATTTGTTAAAGCTAAAATTCAACTTCCGCAGAGAAGTATTATCAAGACATCCCGGAATTGCTCCCAAAAACATGTTGTTGGCAAGATTCAACTCACTCAAAAGATTAAGATGGCAAAGTTCTTTTATAATGAACCCTTGCAATCTGTTGTTACTTAGACTTAACCATTGAAGGTTATGTAATCTATTAATTGTGTTTGGAATCAACCCTATCAAATGATTCTCATCCAAATCTACTTTTATCAAGTTTGTTAAGTGTTCGACTGCAATGGGTATAGCTCCGCTAAATTTATTGGATGACAAATCTAACTTAATGAGCTTAGAAGCATTTGATATGCTGTTTGAAATTTGTCCAGTTAACTCATTCCCATTCAATCGTAACTCTTGTAGGTTGGGAAGACCTAATCCTAAATATGATGGGAGAAGGCCGAAGAGGAAATTATCTCCCAGGGCTAATAATGCCAATGTTGAAATGTTGAATATATTGGAAGGAATATGTCCAGTCAAACAGTTTGTTCCCAAATCTAAGATTTCAAGATTAACAAGATTGCCTATATCCTTGGGTATATAACCTACAAACAAAAAATTGAATGGACTTGTTAAAAAACCAAAATAGGTAATAGTGTTTGCAGATAATGTACATGTATACTATAACATTGAAAACTGCACTTCTCTTACTTATTCCAAAAAACTTAATATTTATCCATGTTCAATAGATTAAATGGAATAGGCCCTTTCAATTGATTTAGGGTCAAGTCTAACACATTAATTTTATCAATATTGCCTACGTTTTTGGGTACAAAACGGGGACATTAAAAAATTGATGGAAATGACGACTTTTGTAAAGCTTAGATAAGAATAAATACAGATAAATTTATTTTATTATTTCTGAAGTCTTTGTAAAATTTTAAAAGTAGAGAAATTATAGAAAAATAATAAATTACTAGAGATGCCACGGTTATAGATTTTTTTTTTTTAAATTAAAGTTCTTATGTTGTAATTATTGAATAATAATTTAGTAGGAAATTAATAAATTTATGAAATAGAAAAGAAAAAATTGACAAAATTGACAAAAGAAAATTAAATGTTATTTTGGGATTGAATGAATGAAATGCCCAAAAACAATATCTCCTTTTAGTTTTACTCTGCTAGAAAATTAATGGAAATGACGACTTTTATAAAGCTTAGATAAGAATAAATACAGATAAATTTATTTTTATTATTTCTTAGGTCCGTTTAAAATTTTAAAAATAGAGAAATTATAGGAAAATCATAAATTACTAGAGATGCCATGGTTATAGAATATTTTGTAAAATTAAAGTTTTTATGTTGGAATTATTAAATCATAATTTAGTAGGAAATTAATAAATCTGCGAAATAGAAAAGAAACAATTGAAAAAATTGATAAAAGAAAATTAAATGTTATTTTGGGATTGCATGAATGAATGAAATGCCCAAAAACAATATCTCCTTTTAGTTTTACTCTACTAGAGAAAATGATCTAAACGGTAAAAGGAAAAAGAAAATCATAGACTACCATCAATTGATATTTTGATCTTTGATATTTTGAGATTGTAAATTAGTAGCTATATTTAAGCCCCCGCTAAGAATATGTGCAATATTAATGAAATGATGAAAAGAAAAATCTTGTTTTAAATTTATTCTATTAGAGAAAATGATAAAAAAAAAACAAAGAAAATAACAAAAATAAGATATAATAATCTCATGATATAATAAATTTATTCTATTAGTAGCTATAATTACTGCTTGTAAAAAGACTGAATGGATTTGTAAAAAGACAAATAAAACAGGTTACATTATATGCATATACTATAGCATATAAAACTACACGTGTCTTACAGATATTAAAAAGGGAGAAAGAAAATTCCTTATAAATATTTCGCGCATTGCCAATAAATCATGTGTTGCAAATAGCATTAAACTATTCGGCAATTTATCCCTCCAGGAAATTATTATGTGAAAAACTTTAATTTGAAAAGCTTTATTGGCAATAGGCAATATGTTTAACAATAATTCCAAAAGTTGCGTTAAATATGCTAAAAGGAATTTCAAGTAATACTCATTTCAACCATATGTGTAAAATGTACGAAGAAAAAAATTTAGACATGAAAATATCAAGAAAATCATAAATTACACTTAAGGTGAAATGACTAGTATTTCTTCTGAAAAATAAAAGTTTTACACTGTAATTATGAAATAATTATTTAATTTGAAATTAATGAATTTCAAAAAGAAAAAATTCAAAAAGAAGCATAAGAGTTAAAAAAAAGGAACTCTGCAATAGAGAAAATTATAAAATTAAAGCTGTTAGGAAACAGATAAAATCTTTTTTAAAAAAAAGTACTAGCATATAATAAGTATGTATGTTGAATTTAAATTTGGTTGAACAAGCATTTTATGAGTTGCATTTATAGAATAATTTGTAATCCATTTTTTATACAAATCTAAATAATTTTTGTTTATTGTACATTTTTAATTACTACATGTAATTTTTTAAAATGTTATAATTTTAATTTCAATTAAAAAATTTTGAATTGTTACAATATGTATATATATAATAAATAAGTAAAACCATCTCCAAACTTATCTGTATTTTAATATTATTTAAATATTAAGATGAAAGAAAAGAAATTAAAGTAATTAAGAGACAGAAAAAATCTTGGGAAAAAGGTATTGTATGGTCTGAAGTTTTGTCATCAAATAGTATATGTGAGGACTTCGTTTTGTTTTTCTGTTACAAATTTCACAGCATCCATCTGTTCATGATTCGGATATATACATATTTAAATCATTTTTTGTTTATTGAAAATTTTTAATTCTAATTAAATGATAGAATTGTTTCCATGCATATGGATACGTGCACGTGCATATAAATATGAAGATTTAATTGAAACTAGAGATTTCTTCCCCATGCAATGCACAGATTAAAATATGTGATTAAATTTTAAATGCTAATAAATTGTATTATCTAGGACAGCTCAAAATTATATTCACTTTTTATAGAAGTGTAATTTTTTTTATTCATTCAAATGAGATTTAAATTAGAGATTCAAAAATTAAAAAAACCATATAAAAATTTAAAATTATTTATTTATTTCTCTATTTAAGCCCCCAATTAACTTACTATTTAATTATGATGTTTTCCATTTAATTCAATATATTCAAATTCTAATTAAGATATCATTCAAACTCAAAATTAATTATTAATTCCTTCATTTGACCCTCAAATTGAAATCCCATTTAATAATGATACTCCTCATTTAATTCAATATACATAAATCCCAATCAAAATATTATTCACATCTCATCAATCAAATATATTCGTATGTCTTGATGTTATACCTGACCCATTTTTAAAACGAACCAAGTATTACAAGTTTTCAAGAATATAATTGATTGATGATGATGGTTGATTGATGAAGATTTGGAGTTTTGCTTAATTGAAATGAAGATTTATATTTAATGTGTGACACACGCTCCAAATTTGTGTTTACTTTAACATCAAACTTACCCTGTTATACAAAAACCATCAAATATTATTAACAATGGTATGTTTATGAATAATTCTAAAACGTACGTTAAACATATTGAAAAAAGCTCAAGTAATATTCATTTCAACCGAAAAGAGTAAAATATGCAAAGAAAATTTTTGTTATTTAGTTAAGTTTTTGTAAAAAATTTTGAAACAGGAAAAATTAAGAAAATCATTAATTAAACTTCCTGCAAAATGACTTGCATATTTTTTTAAAAAATAAAAATTTTTATAACGTAATTTTTGAATAAATATTTAATTTCAAATTAATGAATTTGAAAAATAAAAAAAATATAAAACAGAAGTTAAACAGATAAAGAATTTACAACAGATAAAGAATTTACTTTTACTCTAGAATAAAAGGAGAGAACATGTTGATTTTGGGCGCACAAACATGTATGCACGTATGCATGTTGCATAGCTTCTCCATTCTGTTGATTATTTTTTTGTATTTTTCTAATTTAATATTTAATAATTATTCAAAAATTATTATATGAGAAAATTTTACTGTAAAAACTTTATTTAATTTCATATATAATTGACCATGGAACAGTTTCTCTTTAAATCCAACTAAATTCAAATGATGAGATTTATTTACTTGACTGACTATTAAAAACATATTGTGTTTTCGTTCTTTAGTTTGAGTTTAAATTTGGCTGAACAATCGTTTTTGGAACTGAATTTAGTTTTTGTTTTAATTTTTAGGGATAATTAATCTTTTAGTCCTTATAGTTTTAACTCATTTGTAACTCAATCTTTATACTTTAACTCAATGTAACTCAGTCCTCATAGTTTTGATTCGATTGTAACTCATCCCTGAAATTTGATTCGCTGTTTAACCATTTTATAATTTAGTCCCTCTTTTTATTAGATATATAATTTCATTTTTTGAAAAACAAAAGGGTTAAATTATAAAGTGAGTAAAACTATGGAGACCGAGTTATGGAGAATCACAAAGATTGAGTTACAACTAAGTTAAAACTATAGGAATTGAGTTACACCAAGTCAAAGTATAATGACTGAGTTATAAATTGGTCAAAACTATAAGGACCAAAAGATTAATTTTTCCGAAGTTTTATAATTTAATTTTTATTTATTTTTTATACATATCGAAATATATGTTTGTTTACTGTCCATTGTTTTAATTGCTACGTTATAATTTAATTTTTTTAAAATATTAAATATAAATCTTCATTTCAATTAAACAATATATAATTGTTGCAATTTATACGTATAATAAATAAGAAAAACAACACCAAACTTGTATTCATTTTAATATTATTTTAATAGTAGTATTAAGAGGAGGGAAAAAATAAAATTAAAGCAAGTAAGAGACAGGTGAAACCTTGAAAGGAAAAAAAGTATTGGCATGACACATTATGGGGGCCATTATGTATGGTTTAAAGTTTTGTCATTGAATAGTATACGTTAGGATTTCGTTTTTTCATGAGTTCCATCTCTTACATGAACAAATGATGAAGTTGGCAAAAAAATGATGGAAAACAAAGTCTTATTTTAAAGAAAAATATTGAAAAGAAAATAAACACACAAATGCATACCTGTGAATGAGTTAATATCCAAATATAACCCTTCCAAAGATGTGCAGTTACTTATTGACTGTGGAATGCTTCCCTCTAATTGATTATCATTAACGTCAAAGACTTCAAGTGAAGGGAGATGATGACACATTTCTTTTGGCAAGTTACCCTCTAAATCACTGTCGCTAAGGTCAACAATTCTCAAAGAAGACATGTTCCAAAGAAATGGAGGAATTTCACCTATAAATGAACACAATATTTGTTAACTACTTGGTAGTAAGCATGTTCCTAATAAATTCACACCTACACAAGCATATAAATAATACATGGAATTTTGGTCACTAATAGAAAATAATTTAGTTTTTGTTGGTAATTAATAGAAAATAATTTATTTTTCGTTGGACGGTAATTTAATAGGGACTCTTTCCAACATCAATGACCAATTGGAGATTAAAGGGCTGAAATTTTAGTTTTGCTTTAA